GTATATATTATATATATATATATATAGGTACACATTATGCTTTTCATGTAAATAAATTTCCAAATCATTTATACATTTATGTCACATAATATAGGTATATATATTCTCACAAAGGAAATCCGATTTCGTGGCACTATTTTTTTTCTTATTCATGTCCTTTTGATGGTACTTATGTCTTTTTGTAATTACGCAAGGTTTCAACGTGTGCCTCCAATTTTTAACAATACATGCTTAAGGGAATGTATTATACACAAAAGCCTAACACAATAAATCGCTAAGGAGTTGCGCAAATTATCGCAAATTCAAAACACGCTTTGTTCCTGCGCTTTCTTGAATCCTATCAATCGCTTACGAAATGTTCGTTGCAACCGTGTGTAAGGCGCTCATCATCCGGCTATCCTGCAAATGTGCGCCTTGAGAGAACTCGAGATTTACATTTTATACTTTGCGAACGCAGCTGGTGGTCTGACGAGGCGCTTACGTGCGATTTGCACAGAATGTCCGTATCATCCTTTCATTCTCCAATTCCCTATTCCATCCGGCGCCGATTATCACCGGTGTTGACACCTTTCCACGTCGCTCTTTTACGAATTTATACTTTACGGACCATGATCTCTCGCGCTAAAGTGATTTCGTTACGGCGACTTTACAGGTTCGGCCCTTAGAAATTATTTTCATCCTTCACAGATACCGCCGTAAAGCGGTGTCCTGTATCACACAGACGTGAACATACCATATATGACTGAATTTTTATATACTTCAACTAATAACATCATAGATTTTGCGATTTGGGTACCTCTTAAGTTGCACGCTCAAATTTTTTTAGATGAAAAAATAAATCCCAAGATACATTCTTCAGCTTGACACATTAACTTCTCTTTTAATTAATTTATTAATCATACACTCTAAATTTCTTGCAGTAAAATCTCACTTCAAGAGAGTGAAAATGCAACCACCCTTGAAAAAAAGTGAAAATATTTCACTTCTTGAAAAAAAAGTGACGATCTTCACTCTTTTTAGAGTGAAATCTTACTTTTTTGGAATAAGATTTCACTTTTTTGAAATGAAAATTCACTCTAAAAAGAGTGAAGATCGTCACTCTTTTTTCAAAAAGTGAAATATTTTCACTTTTTTTCAAGGGTGGTTGCATTTTCACTTTCTTGGAGTGAGATTTCACTGTAGGAAATTTAGAGTGTATATGTGTTTTTGATTCATATATATTCTAAATTTATATTGTAGAACAAGTAAACATTTTTTTATCCTCGGGCGAGATTTTATATATGGAAAGAACAGTTCTGCTGAAGTATCTAAAGCCTTGTCTACAATAGTCACACAGGCTGTGTCGCATGTCGTATGAAATGTCGCAGAAGTGTCGCATCTATTATAATCGCATGCTCTCAAGAGCTCTTGTCGTACGGAGTTGAGCCAACTTTAACTTTCTGCAACTGCGACAAGCGTATCGCATGAGCCCAGGTAATCACAGCACAGCAAGTTGGCGTTTAGAATTTGTTGTCGAATTGCGTGCAAACAATCCTTGCGACTATTGTAGATGAGAGAGGCTTTAAAGTTTAACTACAAATCTGAAAATATTAAAATTTTGTTGGACTATCAAAATAATTACGTAGGATCATGTTCAAGCTGATTGTTAGAACATTAAAACTTTTTACAGCATTACTCATCATACTTGAGATTCCTACGTAATTCTTTTAATAATCAAACAAAATTATTTTTCGATCTGTAGCTATTTAAATTTTTAAATACTTCAGCAAAATCATTCTTTCTGTGTATTTATAGTAGTATTAATAGTAATGTCTACAGGCTTTTTATATTTAATGCTTCTGCGATCCATGCAATAAAAACTTGAACATAAAAAAAACAATTTCAGAGATACGTTAATGACTAACGTAATAGATAACTTATTCGTTGACTAGAAGAGATGTATCTCATTATATAAAGCTTTTAAATTGTATACATTAAATAATGTACATTTTATATATTTTATCTTTATATATTTGCATATTTATTTATTTCGTGTTATACACATATCGGTAACTATTTATTTATTAAAGTATTAAATTTATTATACGTTTATATATCCGTGTCTTTTCCAATCTCTAACGCTGATTGCGTGAGGCGATTCATTCGCGATTCTTGCAGCGTGCCGTGTTGTTAGCTCGTTCGCTCGCGCGATTCATTTGCGATTCTTGAATCGTATCCGATCGCCACACGCGTGTTTACATCTACGTAGGAAACACCTTGGTCTCGGCACGAAAACCTAGTTAGCGGGCAAGCCAATCCGGGCGTCTTTCGAGGACATCCTCGAGATCGCGCTCACGCAAGTCAGATTGTACTCAATCTTACTTAAGGGGATGCCGGAATGATCAAATTATCGACATTACAGTTGTATAAAAATTTTCGAATTGACCGAACGAAATCAAAAATCCTTTTACAGCATTAAAGTTGACGTTAAATTAGGAAGTGGTGCAGTGGACTTTATACTAAAATCGAAAGAAAATTAAAACTTCTAATTTTGCGTCAATTTTAATGTTAAAGGATTTTATCGATAATTGTAATGTCAATAATTTGCTTTTTCCAGCATTCCTTTAAACCTCAGAAGCAACGAGGGAGATTGATCACTATCATAAGACGTCAAGTTTTATGCGTTCTGCTGCGGAGGATGATCGTGAAAAAAGTGTCGCCCACATAAGAACGAGGTGACTCACGGAACTGGCAAGAATCGCATTTCTCCGCGAATTAAAAAATACTTAGATGATTTGATTTAATTTCTTTTCCTAAGCGGAATTATTATCTCATCGCATAATTACATCTCAGTGATATTTGATAAAATTTAACGAAATATTCTATGGAGATTTTAAATCCCATCCACTTTTCTTATTTTCACTCGTAATGTATAATAAGAAGATTATGTAATTTAATTAACATATTATCTTTTATATGTTATTAATATTTAGATAATATATTATCTATATTTATACCTATTTAAATAATAGTATATATAAATTTAATAATAAATAAAGTTTGTGCTTTATACATATATTTATATTTTTCCAATTTGAAATAGGAGACTCATTATAATTTAATTCTAATATCTGTTGTAAATTTACTTGTCGCTATAAAAATGGTAGAAATATGAAGAAACTTACTTTGCAGCAAAAATCCATGCAGCGCGAGGTTCATGGCTACGATATGATTGATTTCTTCAGCCTGAAACAGAAAGTATAAAATCGCTAAAATTAGACGGTTGTTGCAAAACAAATTAAATATTAAATTTTATAATACATTCATATTTACATCATTATCAGATCGCTATAATCGCATATATAAATTTCCATTGAATTTAATTAAATATAAGCAATAAATATGCGGAAATATTTGCATATTTTTAATGGTCCACGTAACAGGCAATAAAATTATCTTACAAATGGAGAAAGCATTTCGTATATCGCGACCTCGCGTCGGAAACACGACGTCAACGTCGGAACGTTAATATTATTCTAACAATTTGCTCTCGGAGGGTAATAACGTAATAACTAGCTACGCTAATTGCTACTAAATCGCCGGAGGCGTAAAGGAATTAACCGAGGCAAATAAACTCGTCCCGCCAGTCCGTCGATCTTTGTATGCTCTTGTGGACGGTCAGTAGCTTCAAAGGACGTGTGACATCTCTATCGCCAGTGTCAATATTTGCCTGGAAGCCTCGACACGAGAAGAGAAACAAACGCGGTCTAATACCGCAATACCGCATTCAGTGCATGTCGATCTATCGAGTGCTCCGCTAGTAGCTAGCTAATTACCCGTCTATTAATTAAGCGTAACTTAGGCAACTCCTCGAGCGAAAGTCCTTGGTGGAACAGTCAAGAACGCAATTTAAAGAGCAACTAGTATTTTGCGACTTTATAATCTCATCGTGATCAAGCAAGAATTTCTTAGCACCTTACTACTTTTCCTTTTTTTTTCCGTTTTACGATATGCTTTTAAAATATCTCACATTTATTGTGCCATAACAAACTGTAATGATTCATTATTATAATGTTAAGGACTTTGAAGAAATATTATTATTGAATGGATTTATAATAGATTCTCTCTCTCTCTCTCTCTCTCTCTCTCTCTCTCTCTCTCTCTATTTTGTTTTTATATATTTTCGTTATTTAGTATTTAAAAATAAGAAACACAATATTTGAAACATTTTAAATACCTTTGTTGTTAGAAATCGTGCATTTGCGTGCACTTTTATTAATTTTATTTCAATGAATTATCGAATCTATATGGCTGCGGCGCTGCCATATAGCGATTTCGTACGTGCGAAAAATGATAAATAAGATCGCTTGTGCATACGGAGAGAGGAGAGGGGAATGTTCGAAAGTCTATAGGGAACAATGACCGGGCGGTGTTGCAGGCGAAAATAATTCAGGTCGAGCAAGTTAACATTATAACGGCGTATTTGTCGACGAAGAAACAGCCGATGGATTTCGCGACCCGAATTATTGTTAAACGGGATAACTGCGTGGTCAGAAAAACAAATTTTGTTTGAGAAAATGGGAGAATAATGTGTATCTCGCCTTGGTGAGCGGAGATTTACTTCTTTATAATTATTCGATATTTTCGTTGTCAAAATTCTAAAAGGCGATTTGTTTTTATTGTGTAATCTAACTTTCTCTTTATTCTTCGCGTTTCTTTATTTTTAGATTATCGGCAAAAGTTACTTTCATCTCCATTATTAAACTTTGATATGTTAACTCAGAAGTAATATTAATTATCGTGTTGATGTTCTAAACGTCATTTATTATCATGACGGTCAAGAAAAGTATTTATTTAGTTTCTTTTTATTTAGTAACAAACTATTACTATACATGGTTGTTATATATATTATTCTTTATATAATTACGTTATCTTTTATTTTCTTTAATATATAATTACGTTACCTTTTTTTTTAAATCTTTTATATCTTTATAAAAATATAATTATATAAATAAAACAACGCGTATAAAGAAAAAGCGAAAGAGTAAAAAAATAAAATAAAATAGTATTTTCATGTTTAGATTTCGTTATTAAAATAATAGTGCATGGAACAACTATTTTACTAAAAAATTTCCAAATTTTACATATAGATACAGATCTAATAAAATAATATTGATAGATTATCCAAATAATTACGTAGAAAATTCAAGCATGACGAGCAATACTGCAAAAAATTTTAACATCCTAGGAATTAGATTGTCCTACATAATATAAATTATTTTAATAGTTCAATAAAATAATTTTTAGATCTATATCTAGCTAAATTTTTTAATATTTTGGCAAAACTATCCTTTTACAGTATTAGAATTAATGAACAAGTAATATTCGCAATATTTACAATTCTGCAATTATCTCTCTTCTCATACAAAATCATGTGTGACCAAAGTAATAATTACGCATCCAAGAATACAAAAAGCTGAAACAATCATAAACTGTTTAGACATTCGTCGTTTGCAAAACGAACGTACAATATTTGGCACAATCTTTTACAACTCGAATAGCATCAAGGTCACAAGTTGCACAAGTGCACAGCTGCAGCGGTTTGTGCACTTTATTGCAATGTAAAAGGGACGCGACGTTTATCGGATCTCAATTTATCATAACGAATTGTAGCTCGGCTTTTACTCGATAAATAGTGCCGATAACACGCGGTCCCGCGATCGGCGCGTTTCTTCAGTACGTTTATATGGCAGTTATGAATGATCAGTGCGATTCAATCATTTCTCGAGCCTGCTTTCCAACGTGTGGGGGCGTATGCATACATCGCAGTTTATCAGGTCCATCGACGCGAACTCAAGATATTCCTTCCGACAAGTAAAAAGGCAAGATGAATATTTCCACCACGTACATACGAGCTGAGAAAAATCGCAAGGTGGTCTATCAATGACTTTTAAGTTTAAGTTTTACACCTTAAAATTTCATTGTAGACGATTTAAGGAGGGAAATATATATAGAACCTTCAAAAAATGTAAAATTTTTTTATTTTATAAAATGAAAGTACCGTATCTTAAGATTATGTACCCAAAATTTTAGAGCAAAATTCCAAGTATTTTCGAAGTTAGAGCCTGTGAATGTGACTCATCTTAGTTCTGCGTCGCTATACAGGTACATTCGAGCGTTCAGAATAGGGAGACCCAGGGCTTATAAGCTGCCGTCTTGTAACGCTGAGGCACTGCTTGTACACAGAAAAAAAGACTATTCTTAAATCAACCATAATATACTCATATGTAAGCAAAAATATTGTAATCTTGCTTTAAAAATTTTAGTCTTGAATTCGTATTGATATAAGATTTTTAATTGAGCAAGTCTTGAATTAAGTGCAAAATAATACTTGCATCAAAACAAATTTAATCAAATCGAGATTGATATCTTTGAAACAAGATTATAATATTTTTGCTTATATATGAGTATATTATGGTTAATTTAAAAATAGTCTTTTTTCTGTATAGCGTTACATGGGAAAGGCGGGGGAACTTTTTCGTCAAGTTTGACAAAAATACAAACATTTACGGTCCCAGGTAGCGCTACAAGCAGTGCCTCAGGCGCCTCAGGGTTACAAGACGGCAGCCCTGTAGGCCCTAGGGCAGAGTTGGGCATGTATTTGAAATACTTTTATTTAAAACACACTATTTGCAATACAAGCATATTTTGTATTTTTTATTTTAGCGGATCACATAAAAGTATTACGTATTTTGTATTTAAAATCGAAAGATTGAAAGCTTTTTGTATCTTGTAATTCAAATAATAAGGTTGATTATCAATGTTAGTATTTGAAATACAAAATACAAAATACTTTCATAATCTTTTGTCATTAATACTAAAATATAAAATACAAAATACTTTTATATGCTCCTATGAAATACAAAATACAAAATATTTTCATGTACTCTGAACAAACACAAAATACAAAATATCATTGTCTTACCAATAGTGTTTTTCAAATAAAAGTATTTCAAATACATGCCCATCTCTGTCCTAGGGAGACCTATTCTTTGTAATCCCCTCTTTTTCTTTGAACCCTTATTCTAGTTTGAGCAGATGTTCCGGCAAGAGTATAAGTGTAGCATTTGAGTGAAAAGATATTTATACATAACAGGAAGAATATTTTCATTTTCTTTACAAACGAGCGTTTCAACGTTTCAAGCCAGTTGCAGTCAGTTTAGTCTCAGAATTCGGTGTGTACGGATCATTTTTGATAATTTAAAATGCAATCATATCCTAAAGGAAGTAAAGAAATACCTTCACGAGCACCGAAACTACGGGATAAAAGACGTTTCTATGACAATCAATTCATGAATAAGCAAGAAGAAACAGTTGGAACAAGTACAAGTGCAAGAAAACTCTGTTGCACCAGCAGTGATAATGTCATTTGCACGTTTACAGATTGATTGAATTTTTTATTATATTCACGGTTCTCTCAGATCTCGTAATTTGTTCTGAGTGTAAACAAAAAGTGAAGTTTAAGGAGGCTGGAAATCGAGACCTCGGATTCAATTAATTATTAGCTTGTGATGTTGTGCCGCTGTGATCGCCGAGATATACATTCCGGACCGTTGATCGATATTAATGGATACGAAGTGAATGGATCGTATTTGTTATGCGTCTCTTAGGTCTTGGCAAGGAAGAGATTAATTTATTCTGTAATCTAATGCCTGTTCTACAATAGGGTCGCAAGTCGTAAGCCGTAAGAAATTGGCCAGACACAGTTAAGTGTGAGAAGAATAATCGAATATGATTGGTTAATTTCTTACGGTTTACCGCTTACGACTCTATTGTAAAACAGGCCTCATAGATAATTGCGACGGATTAGCTGGAAGTTCGTACAACAGCATTATAGAACATATGTACACTGCTACAAAAACAGTATTTAATCTTTGCACAAAGAAAGCTATAAACAAGAGAAAAAGAAAAATGAAGAACAAGGAAAGTCAATTTGTAATTTGAAGATGTCTGGTGATAGTTCATGGAAAAAGCGCAGTTTCGAGTCTCTGTATGGCGTAACGACTCTAATAGGGTATTACTCTGGAAAAATAATTGATTTAATAGTTAAAAGTAGCTATTGTCAAGATTGTACTTTTTGGAAGAATAAGCATTTTACTCAAGAATATTGCGAATGTTATGCAGATCATGAAGAAGAATGTACTATAAATCACGGGGTTCCGTGGGGAAAATGGAAATAAGTGCAA